GATATAATATAATAAATATATGGTATATATTTATACTATAAAAAAAAAAAAAAAGTATAAAACTTCGATTTTCATAGAAACAGATAGGAACATAGGAACACTCTCTTAGAAATAATTCAAATTACTTTTTACATCCAAGACGCTATACAGAAGAGTTCCTATCATGTTCTTATAGTGTTCCCAAGAATTTTGATAGAAACATGGATTCAACTAGGGTTGTTAGTAATCAATGGGTATTGTACTATTTGGTGATAACTGTGCTTCTGCCATCTTGTTTAGCTTTTTCGATGATACTGCTCTCTGGCTCGATATTCAGAAATAGTTGACTTATCGCATTCTTTGCAGGGGACTTGTTCAGGAGAATTCCGATAGACTTTGCATCCTTTTGGGTGATAGCATCCCCGATTACACACCTCTCCGGTCCTAAGAACGTATAGACAATAATAAAATGCCATTTGTGTATATTGATTAATAATCTCGGGAATTATTTTCATTTTAAACTTTTTTCTTGTAAGTATTATACCTTTAGATTTGGTATAGCTAGAAAATATCTTTTGAAAAATAACTGAACAATCAAAGCTTTCGGAGTTTCCCGATGCGCTCCTTTTTCAGCCAGAGGCTGAAAAAGATAAAATAGTAGGCCAGGTAATTCATTACTCTGGTGAAGATTATTTGATGGGTATCTCAACCCATAATAATATAGTCGCAGAGGATGATAAGGAATTAACTGCAATTCTTGAAGATGCTTTGGCTGAACGAGAAGAGATTCCTTTTATGGCTATTGATTTTGAGGGTTCATCAAAAAAAATAGGTGAAAAGTACTGTTATGTTTTGCGTCTTTATGGCTCTCTTATTAATGGCCAAAAAGCTGTAGTTACCATTACGGGAATTCAGATATTTTTTGATATTTGCATACCTGAGAAAGAATCTGTAGATGGGTTTAAAATAAGAATAGATGAAATTCTTTGTAGCGCCATAAATGCTTATAAAATAGAGCCTATAGAGGCCTTCCCTTTCCGTGATTATCATATAAAAAAAAAGTTATATTTACGAGTTTTTACACATAGTACTGGGGATAGAAAGAAAGCCATCCAAGCCATCCAAGATAATAATTTCGAAACTGCTTCAGATGATATGTCCTCATTTCATCGTAAAGTAGCTAAAGAGAATGGAATTGCAATATCTGGTTGGTCTATAATGAGCAGGTATAGACACAAAAATCATCCTCATTATACACATGATTTTTACGTTTTTGTAAATCATTTTCGACCATTAGAAGACCTAAAAATGCTAAGTGATCGTTTTCCAATTTCAGAACTCATAAGAGATCGTATACTCATTCTCACATGGGATATAGAGATGCAATCACGAGAGTTGGGCGAATTTCCTGAAGTACATAATAAAGAAGATAATATATTTATGATTTGTATGACCTTGCATTAGAAAGATGACCCAAAACCACTAAAACAAATCTGTCTTGTCGATCTTGAAACTGTGCCAGACCCACGCTGGATAACAGTTGTATGTAAAAATCAGCCAAATTTACTAAAGGTATTTGCATTATGCTGGAGAACCTTTCAACCCGATATCCAGTTTGGCTTCAATGATTCTGATTATGATTGGCCATTCATTGTGGAGAGAGCTTGTAGACTTAATCTTCTTGAATGGATGTGGAAGCAGATGACGAGAAGCTTTAAATCATCTGAAGAAATTTAAAAATGGAATTATTATGAAAAGATAGGAGTAAACATTAAAAATACTTTTCAGAGTAGAAAGGGTGCTACTAATGATGATGAAGAAGACTACAGGATACAGCCAATCACAATCAAAATTAGTCTGGATGAAAATTTTATCTCTACTTTTCTTAAAATACCAGGCTGTGTGCCAATTGATGTGCGCGCATGTTTTAAGAAACTCTACCCTCGTGCAGAAGTAGATAAGAAAAGCTCGCTTGCATTTTACTTAAAAAAATGTGGACTTGGTGGTAAAGTGGATATGCTATACAACAGAATGTAAAAAATCTACTCAGAAGCAAGAATGAATGCCTCACTAAGAGAATTGGATTCTTCTGCCGTACAAAACATATGTGAAGTAGCATATTATTGTATTATAGATGCATTGCGTTGCCAGGAGCTTATGGTTAAGCGAAATATAATTAATGAGTATAGGGAGGTTGCTTCTATAGCTTACGTATCTTTGTTTGATTCACATTATCGGGCAAATAGAATAAAGGTGCGAAACCTTCTGGGTGCTTGTGCCACTAAACGCAATATGCTGTTTAGCACGAGACAGTGTAAAGATATAGAAAAGGGTAAGTACCCTGGTGCATATGTATTTCCGCCTAAAAAGGGGATTGAGACGAAAAGACCTGTAACGGGGTTAGATTTCGCCTCGTTGTATCCCAGTCTCATCATGGCTTACAATCTCTCTCCAGAAAAAATTATATTAACTTATAGAGAAGCCAATATTGCGCAAAAAAATGGAAACAACTTGCATAAGATTGAGTTTCTATTTAATAACCGCATTGTCTGTGCTTGGTCTGTAAGATATGATAATCAATTCGAGAAGAAAGGTTTATATCCCGTCATGTTAGAGGATTTGTTCAACAAGAGAGTAGAGCTTAAAGCACAGCTCGCCTCATTAGGAAAGAAAAAGGAGCGCCTCGGGAAGATGATAAGTTCAGCTAAAGAGAGAGGTAAAAGAGTTCCAGAAAGTTTAGATTCAGAATACTCATCCATATGTTTCGATTATAACTGTTTGAATTCTAAGCAGTTCGCTTTGAAGATATACATGAATACTTTCTATGAGGAAGCAGGAAATAGCAAATCCCCATTCTTTCTTCGTGAATTAGCTGGAGGGATCACTTCTGCAGGTCAATACAATATTGGTCTTGTTGCTAAATTCGTATCTGAAAAAGGTTTCGGAATAAAATATGGCGATACTGATTCTTTATATCTTACCTGCCCAGATAAGTATTATGAGGTATGCGATAGAGGTTTTAATGAAGAAAAGCTTTCCAAGGAGGAATACTAGGCTGAAATGGTTAATATTACTATGAGTGTGATGAAAAGGTTGCATGACCAAGTAAATGCTTATCTTAGAATAAAAAACGACACATTTTATCTTAAGATGGCGTATGAAGAGGTATTATTTCCCGTCTGCTTTACCGGCAAGAAAAAATACTTCGGTGTACCACATGAAGGGGTCGTCAATTTCAGACCGGATAATCTCTTTAGAAAAGGAATTGATAGTGTAAAGCAAGGTCAGTCCCAGCTTTTCAAATCCATCGGAGAAAAAATTATGTGGGAGGCTATAGGTATAAATAACACGTGCTCAATTGACAAAATTGTTGAAGATACTCTTAGAGAAGCGCAGAACAAGGAGTGGGATTTCAATGAATTTATCGTAATAGGAACATGGAAGCCTAAGAAACGAAATCACTGCAACAATCGCTTTATGGATCGTATGAGAGAGAAAAATAAGAGGATTCCTGATCCTGGAGAACGGTTTAGTTATGTAGTTGTCAAAGGCCTACCTCTCTATAATGAAGAGGGCCGAAAGGAACCGTATAGAGTTGGAGACTATATGGAGTATGCAGACATCGCAAACGAGCGTAATATGGAAATAGATATCAATTACTATTTAGAAAAAACAGTAAAAATATGTGCACGCTTTATCAATGAGGATGATAGATTTCAACCACCCCCTTCTCATAGGATCATGCAACTCAAAGATTCGGATGAGAAAGAAAAGCAGATTGACGCATATTCTCAGAACGAGGCAAAAAAATGGCTTAAAAAATATATAAAAGGCTTGCAATAAACTTTCTAGATATTCTTAGCAGGGTGTAGCAATTCCGACTAAGAAGGCTTACAATATATTATTTATATTTTTGTGCAATAATACTGGCTAAATTCAATTTCTATCTCCGATCTGATCACGAGGATCCCTTCAGAACCGGGCACCATTTATTAACTTTTATTTTTTTGTTTGTCATGCAATATCTTAGGCAGAGCGAAAAAATAAAATTTAATAATTGATATCTAAGCAATCGGCTGTTTGCAAATATAATGTTAATACATATAATATATTATCGAATTGGATCAAAAATAGAAACTACATACTTATTAAACAAAAAATCTTAGTTAATAAATCCACACGTTTGAGGATACACAACATGCATACATATAACCCACTTACACTTCCAGATACTATTGCTGAAATCGTCTTAAAACTTCCATTAGAGGAT